AACACCTGGGATAACAATTTCCCAAGAACACTGAAAGGCTGAAAATGTGGGTGGGTAATATATATCCCATAGGTCATGAAATGGTTAAATAATATAGTACTGGGAGAACCAGATTCATGTAGCAAAATAAGATTAAGGATCTCTCCGTTCTTGGTTCTGCATCATGGGAAATCGGACAACAGGATGGCCACCCAGAATGAAGGGAGCATTTCAGATGATCTGACATAGACCATGGGTTTTGTAGCTGTTGAGTTTCACTTTGGGGAATCTTTGGGGGGCACCTTAGATTTACACAACCATCCTTCAGAATATCTGAATCTAGAGAATAACATAGTCCATGAGGCTGTAGCTTGGTTAGATGTGTCACACATAACCAATGCCACAAAGTAAACAGAAACATGAATGTGCCAACAAACAAAACAATGGCTTTAAATATATACCTCAAATTAAATGTTGCAGATGGCAGGTATTGATATGCAACTGACCTGCTTCTCACAGGGGCAACTCTATGCCCCGCACCACTGTGAGCTAAAGCTATTGATTCTTCAAGCTACATCATACATCATAACCGTTTACCAAAGGGCTCCTCATTATTGTGAAGGATGTTAGTAGACATTGCCAAGATGACTAACTTACTCCAAGTTAATTGTTTATACATGAGTAAATTCAAAACATTAAAAAACATTGTCACAAGGCAATTAAAATTAGTCATTTTAATTCACTGATTTGCTTGGTGGTATGATTGATTGAGGAAAACGGTAGTAAAAATTACTGAATATGCAGCCTCCACTCTTTCTCATATACATGGACTATATGGAGAAGACTGCAACATCAGGATTGGAGGTAGACTCATTAACAAAGTATGCTGTGCAAATGACACAACCTTGCTGAAAGTGAAGAGGACTTGAAGCACTTGCTGATGGAGATTGAAAACTACAGCCTTCAGTATGGATTACATTTCAACATAAAGAAAACAAAAATCCTCCCTCCTGGAGCAAGAAGCAACCTCATGATAAATGGAGAAAAGACTGAAGTTGTCAAGGATTTCATTTTATTTGGATCCACAACCAATGTCCATGGAAGCAGCAGTCAAGAAATCAAACAATGTATTGCTTGGGCGAATCTGCTGCAAAAGACTTCTTCAAAGTATTAAAAAGCAAAGATGTTACTTTGAGGACTAATGTGTGTCTGACCAAAGCCATGGTATTTTTGATTGTCTCATATGCATGTGGAGCTGGACAATGGATAAGGAAGATCAAAGAAGAATGGATGCACTTGAATTATAGTGTTGGTGAAGAACATTGAATGTACCATGGACCGCCAGAAGAACAAACAAATCTGACATGGAAGAAGTACAGCCAGAATGCTCCTTAGAAGTGAGGATGGTGAGACTTCATCTCATGGACTTGGGATGTGTTATCAGGAGGGGCCAGTCCCTGGAGAAGAATATCATGCTTGGTAAAGTAGAGGGTCAACGAAAAAGAGGAAGACCCTCAACGAGATGGATTGACTCAGTGGCTACAACAATGGGCTTAAATGTAGCAATGATTGTGAGGATGGTGCAGGACTGGGAAGCGTTTCCTTCTGTTGTACATGGGGGTCACTGTCAGTTACAATGCACTCAATGGCACCTAACAACAACAACTCTTTCTCAGGTACTATGTAGTGTTTTACAAAGACACATCTAATCCTTTCGGCAACCCTGCAAAAAAAGCAACTCATCTCCTAGTTTTAGTAATAAAGACACTGAGGCTCCAGGAGTGTAAGCGCCATCCAGTAGGCCTGGCTCCAAGGTGCATCTTAGCCTGGGCTGGCCCTGAATCTGCCCCAGTCTCACTATATCAGCCTACCTCTGTAAATGAAAGGTCTTTATATAAACTCCTTAAAAATGCCCATAAGAAAACATGCTCCTTGCACATGTCTAGACTGAGTAAAGCACATATTCTTTTGGTAATTCTTACTACCAGATTAGAAGGTTTTCTTCTGAAAGGCTAGCAGTTATAACCTTGAATATGTAACCAAGGCAGAATAGATAAGGCCTAACATTGAATGCTCCATGTCTGAGGAGCCTGTCTTTGTTCTTAGCTGACTCTGAACACTAGAAGATCTTGAAGCACTTTGGGAGTGGAGGTGACTGTCAGAGAGGGGAGTTACCTGAGCAGATGACACCAGCGTCCTCGTGGTGGCCACAGTTGTGCTCCGACCAGCCTGAGTGGGCACACTGGCCCAGGTGGTGCTCCACACCAGCGCACTGGAGGTTGTCCAGGAGGATGTCCCCTGAACCTGGGCCAAAGTGGGCCTTCCCAAGGGCAGACATGGCCCGACCACACTCCAGCTGGTGGCACACGACTTCGGCTTCATTCAGGTCCCACAAGTCGTCACACACGGTGCCCCAGGTCCCTTGGTGGAGGACCTCCACGCGGCCCGAGCATTGACCTGAGCCACCCACCAGCCGCAGCTCTGGCCAGTCTCCTGGGGACAGAAACTTGGTAAGTCCTGTCCTCTGGGGGCCCTGCCCACTTCCCATGAGCTGGTGGAGCCCCCTGCCCCTCCATAACTATTAGAGATGGAGACTCTGGTAAGAGAGTCAGTCACTGAATCAAGCTCCAAGATGGAAGCCAATACATCATTAAGATTACCAAAAGAATATTTAGCCTAAAAAACTCCTTTAACTAGCTATCTATTTTGCCAGAGGCATGTGCCAATCTATTTTGGCTAAATGCAGAAAAACACTGTAAATCATTTGTATAGTGATTTGTGACTATATGAAGCAGATGTGTGTGCATCTGTGTGTGTGTATGTATCTTCATCCTTACAATAACTCAGGAAGGTAAGGAGGAGACTCTCAGTATACCAGTACTATCTACGAGGCCCTGAAGGTCGGAGAAGCAAAACAACACACCCCAAATCCCACAGCTGGTGAGGAACAGATCTAAACTCAGGTCTGCTGACTCCAGAGTCCTCTCCTTTTTCCCTGCTACACTATCTCACTGCCTCCAAAATGACTCTGACACTCTGCTCACTGGGGAAGAGTCTGTCAGCAATGACTAATGGAAAGCTAAGTATGGTCCGAAACAAAAAACCAAACCCACTGCTGTGGAGTTGGACCCGACTCATAGCGACCCCTCCTCGGGGTTCCCAAGGCAGTATCACTAAGGAAGTAGATTGCCCAACCTTCCTTGCAAGGAGTGGCTGATGGGTTTGAACTGCCAGCCTTCTGGTTAGCAGTCACATGCCTTAGGCACTACACTACAGGACCTCCATATAAAGGAAGGAAAGAATCCCACCAGAGGCACTTGAAGGTTCCCAAGCTCTGAGATTAGGCATAGGATGAACTTTGCTCATCCTAGGATTACAAAACCAAAGGATCCCAGTGGTTTTGAGTGGTCCTAAAAGTTTTAGTAGAGTTGACTGCAGTCAACAGTAATTGGTCCAGTTTCCACTCATGAAGCAGGCGAAGGGCAGGTGCTGAGAGGAAGTTCATTTGATAGTGAAGGGAGGTGTTCCCAGGGCTTACCTGGTCTTGCTGTCACTGTCTTAGGTGTTACTGCTGAGATGGCTGTGGGTACAAGAAGAAACACTCGTAAGGATTTTGGCAAATCGAGATGGGGCAGCATTCTAACATTGTCTCCATTAAGTGTCAAGATTGTGACTGACTCATTCTCCCCATATTCTTTATAATAATCATAAGTTTGAATCAAACTCTTTCCATGTGAATTTTGGTGTTTCTTATGAGTAGGGGATCCAACAGAAAGGCATTCTCTTCCATCCTCAAACCAAAAAGCCAAACCCACTGCCACTGAGTCAATTCTGACTCATAGTGATCCTATAGGACAGAGTAGAATGGTCCCATAGGGTTGCCAAAGCTGTATATCTTCACAGAAGCAGATTGCCTCATCTTTCTTCCATGAAGCAACTGGTGGATTTAAACCACTGATCTTTTGGTTAGCAGCCAAATGCTTTAACTACTGTGCCAGCAAAGATCCTCTGGAAATAGAGTAAAATTTCAATTGTGTTATCTTGCATTAGAAATGTAAGCATTTCCAATCATTGTCCTTCTGGGAAAACCAAACAGCCATCTGTTTGTAACCCAAACCAAGCCTCATCTGTTTGCTTCCAACTCATCAACTTTTCCTGAATGTGGAGAATTCTAATTAGATGAATCTCATAGTCTCCATCAAGGACAAAACTTAGGAATCAAATAAAGGTGATCAATATGCATGATCCAGTTGTTGACATGTGTGACTTGGTTCTAGTATGAATGGGCATTATCCTTGTACAAAATCATGCAGACAGAATCTCTCAGTGCTACTCGATTCACATAGAATTCACAAAGATTCACATAGAATGAGAGATCAACAAAGGACAGTAAGAGTACAGGGAGTGGGACGGAGGAAGACAGAAGCATGAAAACGTTAGATGGGACTCACCGATTAGATGTGGGCTCTGTGAAACCGCCTCTGTGAACACAAGGAAACCATGGTCAGTCCTTGCTCAGTGCCCACCAGGGTGGCTTTCCTCCACCTGTGTCATAAAGCATCTCCTCTGTGTTGTATAACATGTTTCCCAAACTTGATCAATGGCCATTGTCCCCCTGGTCCTTGTTAGAAGAGTAGGGGACTGCTCCAGACAACATCCTGGACAAAGTGGGTGCTGGTCATTTATACTCCCATGAGCTCTGCCTCTTTTCGTTTAGTGGTAAATATAGTACAGGACCCATTGTGGGGTGACCTGGGGAAACCTGCTGAGCCTCTTAAGCTCAGCTTCTTTATCTGTGAAAAGGGAAGAACCATGGCTTTGTGTATGGATTACATGAGTTAATACCGGTAATGTGCTTGAAATGCTGCCTGGTGCAGCATAGGGCTTCAGGGAATGTTACCTGTTGTTTTCACCACTGTTGTTATTATTACCTAGCCTACTACTGCACAACAGAAATGCTTGGCTTAGCTTCTGTCCACCTGCTCACCTTGCACCAATATATCCCATCTCTCTACTGCTGCTCAGATCACCTCCTCTACCACTGTGCCCTTCCCATTGCTCTGCCCGCTGTCTCCCTGATGCCGTCAAGTTGATTCCGACTCGTGGCAACACCATGGGTGTCAGAGTAGACTGTGTTCCACAGGCTTTTCAACGGCGCAATTTTCCATGGAAGTAGATCACCAGGCCTGTGTTCTATGGCACTGCTGAGTGGATTCGAACAGCCAACTTTTCAGTTAGTAGCTGAGTGTAAACCATTTGAGTGACCCAGGGAACCCACAGTCTACCCAGTTGTAAAGCCAAGTCCAAGGCTGTCTTTCCCTGATATTTTTCTTTCCCTGATATTTTTCTTAATAATCGTAGCCTATGTGCCCTCTTCCCTTTCTGATTGCTTTTGCTGAGCGTGTGCTAATTTACTGTATTTGTTCGATGTGTTTGTTTGTGTTAGTTTAGTACTTTTTAAATGTCTTCTAATTGCATCTCATGTATTTGTCTTAGGTCTCCCTCTAGGTTGC